GTACAGAGCGGCCCTGGGGAGCGTACTGACCGCTCTCTGCCGTGCTCACTCCGTACAGAGCAGCCACTGGCAGAGTTCCAGGCAGGAGGTGTCTGTCTTCTCCTCATCTGTGATGTCACCTCACATCCTCCTGTTGCAGTGAGGTGGGAGTGCGTAAGCATATGCTGCAATCTGGTATGGAATTCACTCAGAATTCTCAAGGGCAAGTGTATTTAAAATGCTATTCCTCTTTTAGTTTCAAAAATCAATAGGAAATTGTTTAGTTAATAAAACCCCAGCCTTGCAGTAGCCTTTTATTCCTTAAGAAATGGCATACTGGCTTATGTGATTATGCAGTAAAATTAAAAATTAATCTCAAGTAATGCCTGCTTTTCCACAGATTAAAGTGCAGATTGCCTTTTATCAAATTCTCCATATCTGTAATATTCTCCTAGCCTGCCTGGTTACTTTTGTAACATACTCTGTTTTTGTTCTGGAATTAGCTAATTGCTGGCCCATTTAGTAGTGCTGGAAAGGGAGTAATGGTCCTTTCTGAAAAGGTACTGTTAATGATTCTGTATATACTTTAACGCAGTGGTTAGGTTGTATATTTTCAAATGTATCCAGCAAGGGAGACGTTTTATTATGATTCAATACATACTTATGTATACTTTTACCTGAAATAAGTGTCATGAAACAACAGTTATCCTTACTGTGTATATTTTAATTTCCTCTATTTCTCTTTTTATTTATTTTGTGAATTTTTGTTTTGAGACAGAGTCTCACTATGTCACCCTGGGTAGAGTACCGTGGCGTCACAGCTCACAGCAACCTCAAACTCATGGGCTTAAGCACTTTTCTTGCCTCAGCCTCCCAACTTGCACCTGCCACAACGCCCCACTATTTTTCTGTTGCAGTTGTCATTGTTGATTTTAGCTGGCCCAGCTAAAACCCACCAGCCTACCCACTGAGCTATGGGCACCAAGCCGTATTTTCTTTTTAAAATGCTTGTTACAGCTAAGTGCCGTAGCTGATGGCTGTAATTCCAATACTCTAGGAGGTTGAGGTGGGGGGATTGCCTGAGGTCACAGGTTCAAGACCAGCCTGAGCAAGAGTGAGACCCCCCCATCTCTAAAAATAGCCAGGTGTTGTGGCGGGCTCCAGTAGTCCCAGTTACTTGGGAGGCTGAGGCAAGAGAATTGCTTGAGCCCAAGAGTTGGAGGTATCTGTTAGCTATGATGCCATGGCATTCTACAAAGGGCGACAAAGTGAAACTCTTTCTCAAAAAAATAAAATAAAATACTTGTCACTATCCCCAAAATGCACTAACATAATGTAGCAAAGAGTTTCAAACTATAGTTTGAGAACATTTCTTCAGTTATATGATCTTATTATCATTTATATAATATATTGGGGTATTATTTTATTTAATTTGCATATTTTCAGTCTTTGACACACACTGTTCTCAGGTACTCAAAGTGTGATTTGTCATATACAAAAAAAGTTAAAATAAAAATAGAAAATTTTGTGGGGCTTTTGCTTTTTTTGGCTGTTTATTTTTGATGTTTTGAGATTTTGAAAAGCTTTGTTTTCATTCTTTTTGTATATGCTTAACTATTAAGCAGCCTATTAGTTAGATCAGTGATCTTTTCACTCGTAGAGCTTGATGTGACTGACTGACTTACATTTGTTACTTCACCGATTAATGTTTTACACTTAGTACAAATGGTGGCAAGGGCAGTAGGATGTTTGAGTTCCGTGAAACGTAATTTGTCATTCAGGACGATGTATCAAAATTAACTTTGCTTCTCTATCTTTTCTGTTTAAAGACATACAAATAAATATTTCAGACAGAAGTTTTCTCTGCTGCAGACCTTAGACAAGCTCTCGCATTGCTTGACCTGGTCAAGATGGTGGCATTTGACTCTCCATGTATTGTTGTCTTCCTACAGATTTAGAAGTATTTCCCAACAACCAGCCAAGATGAACATGGTGAAGAGGATCATGGGGCGGCCTAGGCAGGAGGAGTGCAGCCCACAAGACAACGCCTTAGGACTGATGCACCTGCGCAGGCTCTTCACGGAGCTGTGCCACCCTCCCCGGCACATGACTCAGAAGGAGCAGGAAGAGAAACTGTACATGATGCTGCCAGTGTTCAACAGGGTAAGCAGGGCGGCCGGACTCACACCTTCCGGCAATTAGGAAGTTCATCTTAAAGTTCATCTTATGTTATAGTTAGAAAAAAATGATAAGATGAGTTAGTTTTTAATACATTGACTATCACCCTAGAGAAAAGATAATTTTCTTAGGGCCATGGTCAAGATAGGGCCTATGCTTCACGAGGCCCTGGGCTCGAAACTAGAATAAGTTCAGTACCCCTCACACGGCAGTGAATGAATTAAGAAGCTTGATGTTCTCATTTCTTCCTTTCAGTTTTTTATGAATTAATGTGGTATGATGTGAAACTTGGTCAGAATGAACTACACTTAGACTTTCCGCAATTCTCGCTGATAAAAGGAAGACCCCAAGCCTTTTGTACAATGCTCAGTAACGGTTAATTGTGAAATCAGGATAAACCTATAGATTATCATTTGTATTATTTCTCTTGTCTTTCGAAGTGGTGGTTTTATTTCACCAAACGGTACAGTTGCCTAAGCTCTTTGTATACTTTAAAAAATCATTAAAGTTTGTTTTGTTGTTTGGCTGATTTTCTTTTTTTCTTTCTTTCTTTTTTTTTTTTTAGAGACAGAGTCTCACTTTGTCATCCTCAGTAAAGTGTTGTGGCGTCACAACTCACAGCAACCTCCAACTCTTGGGCTTAGGCGATTCTCTTGCCTCAGCCTCCTGAGTTGCTGGGACTATTGGCGCCCACCACAATGCTGGGCTATTTTTTGTTGTTGTTGCAGTTTGGCCGGGCAAATGGTATATGGGTCCGGTGCCCTACTCACTGAGGCACAGGTGTTGCCCTGGCTGGTTTTCTATAAGAGATTCTATGAGAGGATAGTTACAGGCCATAGAAAGCATAAGTGGAGTTGTTTTTAAGGTATTTTGTCTATTACTTATAGTAGTTTTGTGAGAGATTTTAAGACTATTTATATTTATCAAAGATTTGTAAGTACATAGTTTTAAGAAGTCAGATAGTTCAACAGGCTTATGGGTGCCCTGCTGCTGTCCACCACTAATTGCTGCTGGCACTAAAGCCTTTTAAATAACATATGGTCACTGCTCTTTTCTTGATTATTTAGTTTTAATTGACTTTACTTGGAGACATAGAAGAATTAACTTCCTGGCTTTCCAAAGGACAGCACACATACTCACTCTCATGCACGCTGCCCTTATTTTTCCATGTGGTTAAGCAGTATTCAGTGTTTACTGATAGTGGCATATACATTTATTTAAAGATGAACCCTAAGGTATACATCATTTTCCCCATTGTTACAGAATCTGTTTCCCGGGACGTCCTAACTGTTTGAGTTTCCCTCTTTCCCTGCATGTCTGTTTCTCTGTCTACCCTTCCTCCTCCTCTTTCCCCCTCACTCCTCCCTTTCCCCTGTGTCTCCTTTCTCTCTCTCCGTGGTTTTCTCTCCTTTGCCCTGTCCTCCGGTCTCTGTCTCTCCCTCCTTTCCTTCTATCTCTGTCCGTCTGTTCTCTCTGTGCCATCATTTGTCTTTCTCCCCACCATCCCTGTTTCTCTCTCTCCCCCCGTTCTCTCTTTCTCTCCCGTCTCTGTCTTTCTCTCTCCCCTTTCTCTTCTTCTCTTCTGGGATCTTCCTCCCCAGCTCTGTCCCTTTGCCCTGACTATCTTCTCCCCCAGCCCCTCTGTCTCTGACTTGCTCTCCCACCCCAGTATCACTTGGTCTCTGTTCTTTCTATTTGTTACTCTGTCCCTCTGTCTGAAATCTTCTAAGCTCTTCTTTTTCTCCTCATTATTTTGAAATTTTATTGTGGCTTCATCATGAGCCTGCTTACTCTGAAAAGCAGATTATTCAGTTCTGGGGAAATATTCTGAAAGATTTCTTTGAGAATATTCTCCCTTATGTTTTGTATATATCTCCCTTTTCTGGAATTCTTATCAGTCAGATATTAGCTCTTTTAGATTAGCCTTGTGCTGTTATAGTTATAATCTCCTTCAATTCTTTCCTATTTTATTCTTTTTAAATTGTGTAATATCTCCTCTTATCCTTTAAAAATACTGATTTATTCCCCCGTATTTTCTTCTGCTTCTTGCATTGTTATCTTTGCACCAAGTTAGTTTCTTTCTTGATGTTATTCTCGTTCATTTTAGAGAATCTTCATATGTCTCATTATAATTGTCTATGTGTTGATATTTAAGAATGAGGTTTTAAATATGCATGCAAGTTAATTTTCCACTTTGTATTTAACTGATGGTTATTTAACTGAGAGACCCTCTCAGCCTCAGTGTCCTTAGATCTTTTCATTGGGATGTGTTGATATTTTATATGGGAGGGAGCGATTTTCTAATCTGCCTGGAGCATAGGAGCCTCACTGCTCGTGTTTTCTAAAGTCAAGTTGATGACCAAGGCTGATGTCTCCTGTTCAGCCCGTGGACTTCTACGGAATTTCCAGTTTCCACATATCGTGTTCTCATTCTCAACCTGTCCTGGTATCCCACTCCTTCCTCTGTAGGGATTAGATCTCTAGTTGTTTGCTGCACTGGGGAGGGGAATTCACCTTCAGTTTCTAGGCTGTAAAATAAGAAAAAGAATCATCAACTTTGAGAAGTTGTTGAGAGGATTAAGTTAAGATGATATATTTAAACCACTTCACAAATATTTGTCTTCAGAAACTTGTATCTATTTTTATTGTTACCACATTAAAAAATAAAGGCAGATTAAGACAAAGGAAAGGTTATAAACTGTTTATGCCAAAATAATTACTCCATTTACATATTACTCAGAGCAAGCTAAAGGCTCAGGTGGACCCTGCTATTCCATGTTTGTTTGCTTATTCCTTCACTTACTCTGTTACTGCACTTTCACTGATTTATCCATTGAGCTTGTATCAAACAAATAGACATTTTGCCATGCACTGTGCTGTGCATCGGAGTCTATGAGACTAGGTGTGATCAAGCTGGAGTATAACAAAGAGGTAAGTGCATAAATCTATTGAGGAAGATACAAGCACTTAAACAGATAATACAATAAAGAATATAGTCTCAGAGACACAGGAGGGTACTATGACACCACTGAAGATAGTTGTCTGAAGGGATTAGGATCAGGGAAGGGATGTCTTCCTTAAGTATACTATGGATGTGTAAGCCCTTGTAGGAGAAGCATTAGTCATATTAGGAATAAACTGGGCTAAATTAATTAAGAACAGAGGAGAAGTCAAATCGTGGTTCAAGGCAAATGGCAACGAACAGTAGCACGAGCATCTGTAAGCATTCTCAGTTGATTTTACATCAAGGAGGGGCACGAATAAGACTGTCGTGATTGATAGAGGGCAGATGGTGGCAGGTTTGTGCATCATCATTAGGCACTGTTACTTCTTCCTGGGGTGTGCAGAGCCAGGGAAGTGGTTTAAGAATAGAAGAAGAGGCTCGGC